TAAAAAACATTGGATGAGTTAAGTAGTGAATTAAAACAGAAATAAAACTACAAAAATCGAAATAGATAAAAGAATGAACTAAAACAAAATCGAAAAACCTCAGATTTATTACATTCAGAAGGAAAGAAACAATGTGAAGCTAACATTTACAGCAACAAAAAAGAAAATGGAAAACATGAATTGAGAGAAATATGCACTTGCTTGTTGTAGATGTTGAAGTAGATATTGAAAAGGTACCATAGGCCGAATAGAGTTCCGAGAAGTAAAGTTTGGATCATACTGTTCGATTTTGCGCTCTCGAACCTCGTCAGTGCTTTCAGGAACCAAGGTTGCCTTAATGCTAATATCCTTGGTAGCTCAATCGGAAATGAGAGATGGAGTAGAAATTCAACTATTGAAACGCGACAAAGAACAGAGCTGTGAAGATCTAGAGCAGGAAGAAGCTCCATGGTCAGAGGTGAGATCGAGTGATCTTGGAGAAGAAGAAGAGAGCACAAGAGGAGTGAATCTAGTGGTAGGGTTCTGATTCAGAGGTTCTTTGACTTTGAGAAATGGACTGGAAGGAGAGACGGCAACTTGCTCTACATTTTCTTCGGGAGCTGAGAAGGACACTCATAGAAGCAACCTCGAAGAGTTAGAGATGCAGATTTTTTAGGTTTTTTCTATGGTTTTTTCGAAAGAGGAAGTCATTGTCAAAAGTGGGAGGCTTTTGTAAAGTAATAATTTTTGGGCAAAGAGCCAAAGACGAAGGGACGAACTTTGTTACTTAAGGAAGAATATTTTAATCATCAGATTGGAATCTACTTATTAGCATGACAATCAAAGAGAAAAGAAAAGGAGAATTCAATTTTAAAAAGTATAATATATAATATAATATATATTGGTGTATATATACCGGTCAGTTCAGTTAACTGCTAGTTTTTTTAAAAGGTTAACCAAAACCAAACCTGAACTATCACTTTTCTAAGAATATTGAACCAAAACTGAACCGTCTGGTTTGTTTGACCAATTTTACTTGAGTGGTTGAACCATTAACCTACCATTTAGGAAAAGTATTTAATTTCTAGGTCAGTTTTAAATTTTGTATTCCATTTCCATCATTAATAAAAATGCTTCTTATTTAACCACCCGGAATTTTCTTTATTGTTGTATTGTATCTATCTTAAAACTTTTTTATTATTTAATTACAACATCGTGAAGCTTGTATCAAGATTTAAGGGGTAGAAGAGACAAGGGTGGATTAAAAAGTACGAAGGACTTGGGTAGAAGTAAAAAGAAATGAGTTCAACACCCAAAAAATAATGGATATCACATTGAATAAATTGGGAAAAGGCATAGATGATGATGATGATGGCATCGTAGGTTAACATATTTGACCCAAATGGGCGAACTGCTTATCTAATATTAAGAAAAAATAGTTTTATTTTTTTTGGTTGGTTTAAAATATAGGTAATTAATATTATTGTTCATGAATTTAATTAGTGAAATTTAATGATGAGGAACAATGATCTCTTAAATATAGAATTTAATGTGAGAAAATAAAAGTTAAAACCTTAGATTAGGGACTTAAATGAGTATGAATAAAATGAACTGAATAGTGATGTTCAAATTACTAATTTTACCCTCACAATGGAGAAGGACCAAATTCAAGATGATGTGTATTTTAGTCAAGAAAAAGTCAAAAAGCCTAAAGGTGCATGTGTGTTGCATGTGACAGTTTCAAATAAAAATAATAATTTTAGTTTCCTTATAAGGACCTACAAAATAAAAATAAGTAACCAAAACATGGTGTGCTGGTGGGTTTAAATTTTATATGGATGAGAATAAATTTTATATTCCATTTCTATTGTTAATTTCTTATTTATCATGTTAATTTTTCTTCGGTACAATATATAATTTTTTTTTGTATTTTCTATATTTTTTATTTTTGTCTATTTTTGAGTTTTTATTGTATAATCATAGCATCATCAATTGACAAATTTGACTCAAAAGAAAAGTGATTTCACTTTTAGGGGGCTTTCACTTTTCTATTCAGCTCAATAATTAATTATAAAAATAGCTCTTATATATTCAACACACTTATCTTTGTTTAATATGGTAAATGTATAATATTTGACATTAGAGATGCCAATGGATCAAGTTCCACATAGGTTTACCTTCACCCTAACCTGATCCTCCAATGCTACCCAACTTAAGACTATTACCCTGAGCCATACGTAGACCCTATGGCTGCGTTTGGAAACGATGCAAATGGAGTGTAAATCCTAGTTCAGGTTAAATTTGCACTCTGGTTCACTTTTTCCCTATGTTTGGCAACATTACATTTATGCATTGACAAATTACAGAAAAAACATTTTCCAATGCATATTTACATTGATAATAAGATGTAAAAGTACATCAATAAAAAAGAAATAAATTTTCATGCCGCAGGCCAAGCTGGCCCGTAGGCCAAGCCTTGGCCCAAGTTGGGTCATGGACCAGGCCAAAGCTATTTTTGCCTATTTATTTAAAAAAAATGAAAAAAAAAATTTAATTTTAATTTTATATGAATTTTGATGTATACAATTGCTTATATATACAATAATTAAATAAATTAGTATAATAAATTTGAAAAAATTTGTTTATTTTAATAGTATATTATATTATATTATATATATATATATTTATAAAATATATAAATATTATTATATATATAATATATATAAATAGTATATATGGGTCGTGCTGGGCCGTGCCGCAGTCTGTACCGGGCCAGGCCGCGGGCTGGGCCATGCGGGCCACAGACACCACGGCCCGCTTGATCGTGCCTCTATTTTCCTCTCAGTTTTTCTCTATTTTAAACTCTTGCTTCTCTTTTCCTCTCAGTTTTTCTCTATCTTTTCTTCTTTATGTGCAATAATAAATTTCTGCTAGTTTCCTTTTATTTTCCTAATTAGAGTAAGTGTATAGTTTTCATACATAGATTTAGTGTATGGTGTATGGGGATCAGGAAGAGATATAGTGAGAGAGAGAGAGAGATTATGGCTATGGACAAAGAGGGAAGAAAATGGGTCTAGATTGTCATTTTCTAAATTTAAAAACAAAGCATGCAAGAAAGGATTACGAGCTTTAAATATAAACCCTAAGGCTGCATTTGTTTTAAGTGTAAATTCAAATTTACATCGGATGGAAAATTTGATCCCGGTTTAGTGATCAATGGAAAATTGAACCCGGGTATTTTGGAAATTTTCTCTCATGTTGTTTGGTTGTTCCGATGTAAAAGTGAAACTCTAAAACTCTGCTCTACTCTGACTCTGAAACTCTACTCTGCTCTGAATCTTGTCATGGATCCCATCCCTGTTCTGCTCTGCGAGGAAGAAAGAGAGAAGAGCCTCTGAAACGCACTTCAAGCTATGTTCTGGTTCAACATTCAACACGAATTTGATCCCATCCCTCCCTTCCAACATTCATCGGATTATCTACTTCGATTCTGATCTCATTGTGGTCAACAACATGGCTAAGCTCTAGGAAATCAATCTAGGTACCCACATTCTGGGTGCACCCGAGTACTACCTCGCCAACTTCCCCATCTACTTCAACGATAAGTTCTGGTTCGACCCATTTTTCTCCCAAACATTTCGAGGCTGAGAGTCATGTTATTTCAATACTGGTGTGATGGTCATCAATATCCACAAATAGAGGGAAGGGAAATACATAGAGAAGCTAGAATCATGGATGAGGATTCAAAAGCGACGAGCGTATATACAAGTTGGGCTCCATGCCTCCATTTCTACTAGTCTTTGCCAGAGATGTAAGAGGGGTGAACAGGTGAAACCAGCATGATCTTGGTGGGAATAATCTAGAAGGTTTGTGTAGGGATCTGCACCCCAGGCAGGTGAGTCTAATACACTGGAGTGGAAAGGGGAAGCCATGGTTGAGACTGGACTCAAGGTGACCGTGTCTGTTGGATAGCTTGTGGGTGCCCTATGCCGTCCTTGTTGTTGGAGAAAAGCAGAGAGCACAGAGAGGAAGAAAGAGACGGAGAGGAAGAAAGAAGAAGAAGAGAAAAGGAGAAGAGAGCAAGAATACTCCTCCGTTTCTTGGGATAAGTGCTTGAAAGTATGGCAGGCGTTAGATCTCCGTTGATTGGAGTCCATGAAAGCGCACGAAAATTCCATAAATGTCATTACTATTTCTGTCGACAGAACCGTTTATACAGCCGGAGCAAACAAATGCAGGGTATGGGGAAGAACGTTAGGAGAGAGACAAAGAAGAGCAAGCAAGAGAGAAGGAGAAGGGGCGAGAGAGAGAGCAAGCGATGTAATTTTACACTGATTTTCGGTGTAAAATTACATGTTTACCAAATACCTGCAAAATCGAATCGGGGTGCAAGGTTTACCCCAATTTGATTTTAGACCTCTACCAAACAAGGACCACAGAATTTGGTAGAGAGAGAAAGAAGAGGCAAGGAAAAAGAGAAGCATCAAAGCATATCATCAAGATGACTTGTTACTGTTCATACACATTTCCTTTCCAAGGTGATTTTTTTTTCTCTTTTTCACCCTTTTTTACACATGTTTAATACCATATTCATTACCAACACTGTCCTAATCAGTTAAGTTTCTTTTCCGGCAACATTAACAATCACTCCCGTGCTCAGCACAGGTTACTCCGCCAGTATCAAATTACAAGAATAAGTGGGATCAAGACCCAGCAGACCAGGCGTAGAAAAGCCTGAACCCAACTTGGCTGGTAGAATTAAAACTCAATAGACCAGGCGTAACTTGGGAGGAAGTAGTAAAACTCTCTCTCTCGATCATGACCCAACAGACCGGGCGTAGCAAAGCCTGAACCCAACTTGGGTGGAAGAATTAAGCCAATGTTTGTAAAATTTCCCCTACCCCATTAAATCTTATCTTTCCTCTTAAATTTCTTACAAGCCCTTTTGACATTAGGATATAGATTAGATATCCTAATCTAAACATGACCTAGACCCAAACCTAAAATTGCCAATCCGAACCTAAGCAAATTTCTATGCAAATGCATTTATTTGCTGGTTAAAAATATGTAAAAGTTGGGAGGGCTGGCCTTCTTTTTTTTTTTTTGGTAATAACACATTTTAACTGTGAAAAAAAAGGCAAAGTGCAAGGCTTTGACAAAACTTTTTAGGTGAAAGGAAGATAAAACATGAGATTGATTGGAGGCCGCCGGCCCTCTATTATGCATTTGAAAGTAATGTCTAGGTCTGAGATCAAGCTGCTGCTCCATCATTTGACGGCAATCCTGCAATTTCTTTTAGTGGTTTCCACATGAATCTCCTCCTGTGTATTCACGTTGATCCAATTAGAATGATCATTTATGAATAAAGGAGAGAAGCTTGCAAAACAGATACTAATGGAATGTGGCGGGAGATATGTCAACGGATAGATCCCGGTCTAACTCAAATTTATCAAGGGGAAGGGTTGACCGTGGGTATTCTTAAATAGACGTAAACAACCATTTGATCTGGTAAAGTGATAATGATAACAGTAGGCGGGACCAGCATAATGGTATGCATAGCTTTCAAAACCGGACTGGACTGGATGGTCGGACCGGAAAAACTGGGAACCAGTCAGGTGACCAATTCCGTTTTACCCAAAAACTGGATTTCCCCCAAAATCGTTGATTTTGGTCAGCAAACCGCTGAACCGGGCAGTTAACCATTTGAATCATTCGAACAATTTTGACCGTTTTTTATTTTTGTCAGAACGGGCCAAGCTTTCAGTTCAAATGATCGGACCGTTCAACCCGTTAACTGGACCCCTGACCAGTTTGGTCACCGGATCAGTTTTAAAAACCATGATGGTATGTATCCGGTCTCCCAAGACTTCGGATGGGTTAGCATAGCCAGACGGCCCAGATCAACATAATAGTAGAGTGGCCAAGAAAACGTTCAAGTCATTTAGACCCCTCCTAAGATGATCCAACAGCATCTTTGCAGCCACTTTTTTTAGCCTGATCAGATCATCTTGTCCAGCCACTTTGGTTGATATATAATAGATTGTTTTGATGTAATATGTTAAAGAAAGAAGCATACCAGTTTCCACATTCCGCGATGACCTTCACCTTGGGTCGGAGACTGGGAAGCAGAGCAAGGAACTGTAATTCTGATTTGGACAAGACCTAAATTGGATCGACGGGTATTATTGGGTACACAAATTTTTCAAAAGAGAGGAAATTATTAATATTTTAAAGTAGCAATACCTTAGCCTCAATTATCCACAGCACAAGACCTCTGGCGTCAGGAGGCAATAGAGAAAGCCTGTAATCAACTTCTGGTGGGAAATACCACCTGGCAATGGGCTGTTTTCCTACGTGCGCCTGCATTGCCATTTATTTTTAGATAGATATATCATCATCTAAGCTTTGTCCTAGCTACGTAGGGTCTGTTGCATCAATCCTGTTTCGCCATTAGTTTGAGGGCACATGTATAGCAAGTGTAAAAGTATTGGGTAAAGATAAAAGTATAGTATATAATTAAACAGATTTAACTTTTACGACCTGATCCGAAACAATGCAAGTATCTTTATTATGCATTTTATATTGCATTTATAACTTTTTTATTTAGATAAAAAAAATAACTTGTATTTTAGTATTTTCCATGTAACTTAATATGAATAATGCCATATATGCATGTACAAATAAATAAAGTGTTGGGGGCTTGGTCGGGGGTCTATAATTGGATTAGGGTATTAAAAAGAGACCCTAGTAAATATTTTGCCAATGTCACCCTGCATCCAACACCTTTAATTCTCGGAACCGCATAGTCAACTTTTGTTGGTGCTCGTTTTTTCTTTGGATCCATGTGTATCCAATTTGTTGGAAAAAAAGGAACGGCGACTTTAAAGATGAGGAACTAGAGTCAACTCAAACATGTCACAACTATAAGCACGAAACCAAAAGGAAGACTCCTAGGATGGTGGAAGTATAAATAGAGAAGAATGAATCAATCAGATGCAGATCAAAATGAAGAAAAAAAAGACTGGATATTGGAAGTTTGAGTAGGGACGCCAATGGGTCAGGTTAAACGGAAACCCAGCTTTACTCGAGTTTAGCGTTAGGTTTGGGTTTTGCAACTTCAACCAGAGTTGAGTTCAGGTTAGGCTTGGGTTTTGCTGCCCTGACCCATTGCACCATGATACTCCAACGTATAGAGGGTATTATTCCTCATTTGGTATGACTTCTAACCCCATACCAAGTTTAGGATTTCTTCTTTCATTATAGAGGAAGTGACACCTTGTAATCTATAAATCAAATTCCAACTAACATTAGTTGCACTAAAATATGTTTATAAATTACAATTGAAAGACTATGAATCGGGTCAGATCAGATCAGTATTGGACTATTGGGTTGAATCCTCCAAGGTCGGGTTGAGCTTGGAAACTACAAATTATTAAGTCAGGTTGGGCTGTTTTAGGGTGAAGGCAAACTTGCACTAAACTGACCCATTGACATTCCTACGTTCGAGATTGGGATGATTATGGGCCAATCCCACAGAGCCAGGAATTTTTTACGAGGGGAGCCAACAGTTGGGATAGGAAGTAGGGGAAGGGGAAATATACATGAAAGAGTATAATATAAGTGGGGCTTTCTGGCCACCGGGGGCAGGGGCCATCGCTCCCTTAGGTCCCCCTGGCTACAGCTTGGGCTTAACCCAACCACAGCCCATACCCTAGGCTGGGCTTTGAACCTGAAATATTGTCCTAGGCCTGTCCCACACATTTCTAGGCCTGATCCCAATTAAGCTAAAAATGATGACTAGAAATGGCAACAGGGCTACAAAGCCAGGTTTTGCACACCCCGTCCTTGACCCCGAACTCAAATACCTCACTCCATTCCCCAATGGAGCTAGAAATCTCAACCCGTCCCTGTGTGGAACGAGGATTCCCAAATTTGCCCCACCCCACTGCAATCATTCCCAAATTTACGACATCACGGTTTGACCTCCGATTGGACCTCGATTGAACCTTTGACCTGTGAACCTCTCCCTCTTCCAGGTTGATGCCCGATCCAATTCTCTGAACATTGGTTTATTCTGGTGTTTTTTATGACATTTTGGTCTATAGCAAATCTGAGGAAGACCATCTGAAGCATCTAAGAGCAACCTTAGAAATTCTATGAAGCCATAGGTTGTATGCCAAATTCAGCAAATGCCAGTTAAGGAGGTTGGCTACCTGGGTCACATAATTTCTCAACATGAAGTTGCCATGGACCCAAAGAAGATCCAAGCAATTATGTCCTAGCCGAGGCCTAAAACCAGCAAGGAATTAAGAGGGTTTTGGGTCTAACCAGATATTGTCGAAAATTTATCAGGGGATATGGGCAAATAGCAACTCCATTCACCAGGTTGCTCAGAAAAAAAAATGGGTGAGGGTGGGATTCTCAAGCAGAAGAAGCCTTTGAAGCACTGAAGGAAGCCATGACTATGACTCCGTTCCTAGATCTCCCATACTTCAACCAACCATTCACATGAGAATGTGATGCTAACGGATAAGGGTTGGGAATTGTCCTCTCACAGGAAGGTAAGTCAATATCTTATTTCAACATGGCTCTTACTGGGCAAGCCTTAAACCTTTCCACTTATGATAAAGAGTTGCTAGCAGTAGTGGCTGCAATCAAAAAGTGGAGGCCCTATTTGCTGTTTGCTGGGAACTCGAAAACTAACCACACCCACACAACAGTGGTTGCTCAACAAGTTAATCAGTTACGACTAATGAGATCAAGTACTGCCATGGAAAAGAAAATGTTATAGCAGATGCACTCTCTAGACAAGCTAAAGGAGAAATAACAGCTATCTCTATGCAAGTACCTGGATGGATTGAATAGTCGAGGAAGGAAGTTTCTGAATACCCCTATCTCTAGAAGATAATTGCTGTAATTAACAGCCAGTATTCTTCCCCCATATATGAATGGAGGTCAGGATTGGTTTGGAAGCAAGGCCGGGATAGTATTGAGCCCCACCTCCAATTTCAGGAGGAGGCTATACGAGGAAGCTCATGAGACACCCACGGGTGGGCATTCGGGTTATCAGAATACAATAGAGAATAAACAGAGTTTGTTCGTGAAAAGGGATACAGGAAGAAAATCAGATGATGGGTGAAGGAGTGTGACACCTGCCAAAGAAACAAGATTGAGAATGTCCCGACCCCAGGGTTACTACAACCACTGTCCTCGCAACCCAAGCAAGGATAGACATTTCATTGGACTTTATAGAAGGGCTCCCATCCTGGTAATCGACAGTTCATCAAATACGGGCATTTCTTGTCCCTAGCTCACCCCTACACTACAAAGGAAGTGGCTCAAGTTTTCATTGAAGGAGTATTCAAGTTGCATGGGTTACCCAAATCCATAGTGAGTGATAGAGACCCTACATCAGCAGGAACTTTTAGGGAGAACTATTTTAGACCCAAGGAATCAAGCTCAATATGAGCTCTGCTTATCACCCCCAGTCTGATGGACAAACTGAGGTCTTCAATCGCACTCTAGAGACCTACCTCAGATATTTTTCCATCACTCAACCTCGCACATGGGTCAAATGGTGACAAGGGAAGGACCAGAAGAATCTTTCAAGTCGGTGAATGGGTGTTCTTATGGCTTCAACCTTACAGGCAGAGTTCGATGGTTTTAAGAAAATCACAAATACTTTCAACTCACTATTCAGACCCTTCCAAATCATTGAGAAAATAAAGACCATTGCATAAAAGTTGGAATTTCCGTCGGACAGCAAGATACATCCAGTTTTTCATGTTTCTTGGTTGAAGGCTAAGGTGGTGGGAGACTAAATCCCAATCCCTGCAACCAAACTCGGTTGCTATCCAATGCAAACAAATGGTTAAGAAGAACAACAAGGATAGCCACTGAAGTTCTTATGGAATGGGAAGGAATGGGTTCAGAAGATGCCACATGGAAAGACTAGGTCGAATTACAGAAGAAGTTTCCTAGATGCAGCCTTGAGGACAAAGCCGATAGCAAGGGGGAGGAATGATACAGCTCGTTAGAGATGAACACATCAGCTACCAAGGTAAAGAGAAAAGAAGAAAGTGGATCCCCTTGTCTAATACCCCTACTAGCTGGAAAAAAATCCCTTACCACCCCATTTACTATGATGGAGTAGTGACAAGAGCTGACACAACCAAACATCCAACCACACCATCTTTCCCCGAACCCACACTTCCTCAAAACCTCTACTAGAAACTGCTAGTCCACGAAGTCATAGGCTTTCTCAAGATCGAGCTTACATACAAAGCCTTTTTGCTTAGACCTCTTCATCTCCTCCACACATTCGTTAGCAACTAGGATCTGATCAATTATTTGTTGTCCTTGGATGAATGCCCCTTGGGCCTGACTAATAATGGAGGGAAGGATTTTTTTAATCCTCAAAGACATAACCTTTGCCAAGATTTTATAGATACTAGTCACCAAACTAATTGGCCTGAAGTCTTTACGATGGATGGCATCAGATTTCTTTGGAATTAGAGCCAAGAAAGTAGCATTAATGCCCCAACTGATTATATGCTTATCTGCAAACTCATTAAAAACCTCACAAAGATCATTTTTTATCACATCCCAACAATCTTGGTAAAAGGCCATTGTAAAACCATCTGGGCCTGGAGCTTTGGATCTATCCATTAAGAACACTGCCTTCTTAATCTCTTCTTCCTCAAAGATTCTTTCTAGCCACCTAACTTGATCTTCATCCAGACTTGGCCAATCTATCCCTTCCAATTCCAACCTCTCACCCAAGGGTCTTCTATAAATCGATTTAAAGTGATCCACAAACTTCCTAGCAATATCTTCCTGATTAGTGAAAACCTCCCCCCCTACCTCTAGCTTAGACACAAAGTTCTTCCTCCTCCTCCCATTTGCCACATCATGAAAAAACTTGTATTTCCATCACCTTCCTTGATCCACCTATGCCTCGATTTCTGCCTCCAACTTATTTCTTCTCTTAATAAGACCTCTTCTAAATCCTTCTTCAATTGTTTCCTTATGTCTCTGTCACCCTCCTCCAATCTAGCTTGAGCTTCTCTTTCATCTAGCTCTTCTATCCTAGAGATTAGATTCACTTTTGGCTCATCAATTATTCCAAAGTGCTCCATATTCCATTCTTTTATTTTGGATCTCAGCCTCTGCAGTTTCTTATGAAATCTTACCCCTTTCCATTTTATCCCCCTCAATTCCTCATTCCACCATAATTTAACTTTGTTCACAAAGTCCAAGTGGGTTAGCCACATGTTCTCAAACCTAAATAGCCTAGGTCCAGCTGTAAAATATCCCCCACCTATTCTTATAGGACAGTGATCCAAGGTTACCCTAGGCAAAGCTCTAGACACCAAGTTTCCCCAATAGTTTTCCCAATCAACATTAAAAATAAACTTATCCAACTTCGAGCACAAGGGAGTTTCCTGTAGGTTAAACCAAGTAAATCTAGCTTGTAACAATGGAATCTCCTTTAACTCACAATCAACAATAAAGCTATTAAACTTTCTCATGCTAGTTGTGATGGTTTGTTGGGAGTTACTAGTTTCTTCGAAAAAACATATTACATTGAAGTCCCCTCCCAAACACCATGGACCTTCCCATAGACCCTGAATTGCATACAACTCCTCCCACATGTCATTCATTTCTCTATGGTTATTGGAACCATAGATATTGGCTAACACCCAAGTGAAGCCATCCTCTACATTCTTGAATTTGATGGAAACCGAGAACCTCCCTATTAACTCCTCCATTGCTTCTACTACATCCTCCCTCCATAATGTGACAATCCCTCCCGAGGATCCCCAAGAAGTCTGAGGTCCACCTTACTCCTCTTGACCTCCGCACACTCCTCACCCATCTTTTGTCCAACTCCAACAACTTTGTTTCTTGTAACATAACAGTGTCAAGCCTTTCCTTTCTAAGTAAATCCTTTATCACCCTCCTTTTCCTTGCACTCCCTAATCCCCTAACTTTCCAACTAACTATTCTCATGGTCACAAATCATGCAAACATCATCAGTCATAAACCACCACTCCTTACTTCATACCCTTTCTCCAATCACCTCTACCACTAAACTTTATGTTCCCTTCGATGTCACCAATTAATCTTTCCACTTCAGAACGTTTCTTCTTTTCCTTATTCCTTTTTGATTCACTCTTTTTATTATAAGTTTTCACCTGTCCTTTCCTTTCAGCCCTCTCTTCGTCCTAACCTCCCTCACCAATAGCTTGCAAAACTGAAGTCTGAAGTCCTCCTTTATCATAATCAACCCCTTCCTTTCCCCTATCCATCACCATTTCACTGAACCTGTCTACATATCCTTCCTTTTGTTTGAGATTCTCAAACTCTGTACAAATCAGCCCCCAAATTTTATCCACCTCCCCACTCTTCCCTTCAAGGAACCCTTCCCCAACTCTTCCACCTCCAATCGTACCCATGTTGTACCTTCTAGGTGGGATGCTGGTACCTCTGTTTCGGGCATACTACACTGGTTAGTAACCAAAAACAAATTGACATCCATACCTGGTTGGAAAGGGATAGCATAAGGAATGCTAGGACTAGACTGTTTGCCAAATCCGACTGAAGCTGGTGTCTTTTCCTTACAAGGAGACTTCTGTGGAGTAGACATGGTGGAGCAAGCACCACTATCTAGCCTACCCTCTTGAAAACCCAATCCCAATACTCCCCTTCCTAGTTCACCCTTATCCATGCTGACAAAAGAGAACTGTTCTCTTACATTTAAGTCCTGTATGCCCTGAGACTTTTTGTTGGCTTCCTCGTTATGGGATAGTGGAATCTGTCCAGCAAACGCAGCACCTCCTACCCTTTGTTCTTCCTTGGGAAAATCTGCAGTAGCCCCTTCTTCTTTAAAGTACAACACCTCCGTATTCAGGCTCCTTGTTTCAATCAGATTTTGTTTAGCTTGCAAATCGAGGCTACCCAAACTTGAGGCTCCATCTGACTCATAGTCATCGTCGCTGCTACTTTCATTTCCAAGCCAAACTGCAGAATCTAGCTTTTCTAAAACAATGCGCTTGACGCATCTAGGATTCCGCCTCTCAGGCGACAACTGAATCAAACTCTTAGTCATCAGTGTACTTTTACACCAATGACATTTTACACTGATTCCGAACACAGCCTTAAGATCATTGGTGAAACTTGATATGAAACAGGATTTCATGAAGGTTGGATTCTTGCCCATCTAGGACCTCAATTCTTATCTTTCTTGGTAATCTTCCACTGTAGAGGTTTGATTTAATTCCGTAAATTCTTCTACCACACCCTGGCATCCTTTTTCACCAAATCTTTTGCACAATTCTTCTATGAATTCCTCTCAATAGACCACTCTTCTACTATTTGATATTGATATCCATGGTACCAAATATCCACTCATCCCTCCAAATGCATTGCCACAATCTCTAACTTTTGCACTTCTGGAATTTGATAGATCTGGAAGTATTTTTTACACTTCCTGATCCAGCTTCTAGGGTTTGAACCCTCAAGGGTCGGGAAATCAAATTTTGGGAGGGAGAAATTAGAGCAAGATCGTTGATACCTCCATTGCTGACCATTTTCTCTGGCTCCAGAATGTCTGGGGTTTGGCAGAATGCCTTCTTGAGGTGAATGGGCAGTTTCAGGCTTTCAGCAGGCATACTCTTCTCTCGGCTCTGGCTAGTGGACATATTTCGCAGCATCTCCAAGATCACATCAAATATTCAATCCGTTGCTTCCCACTTATGCTGGATTTCAGCAGCGAATGATTGTAGTTGAGTCTCCAGACTTCTGATCTGATCATCCATCGTTCTCAAACAAGTTTCCTCAGCCACTTTTCCTTTTGTTTTCTTGGCCAGGATTCCTAAAACTCCAAGAAATCCTCAAAACCGAACGCTCTGATACCAGATTGTCAAGAACATAAAAAAAATTTACAGAAGAAAGGGAAGAGGGAGAGAAAGGAGGAGAGAGGGGGGAGAGAGAGAGACTGGAAGAAAATTGCATCTGTATTCTGTTTTCTTACTCGGTAGCTCATTACAATTTATAGGCATTTTTTCAACAGCTTACTTAACAATTTGACACCTCAACTAACTAACTAACCAAATGAGAGTGAGAAAACATAGTTATAAGATCTAGAATTCGGTTTCATGACAGTTTTTTATTTTAAAAAATAAAAAAAAATAAAAAAACAAATAGAAGCTCCTTACAACCAATTCCGTTTCCTCAATCTCAGCCCCCCTGGGGGTTGAATTTTTATTATTATTATTATTTTTTTTTGCTACCACTTTGTTGATAACGATTGATTGATTATAGTTTTTCTTATAGCATGGTTTTCCAGCCAAAAATTATCATGATTGAAGTTTAACCTATCAAAAGAAAAATATCATGCCTTTTAATATTAGCCGAAAAAAAAAAAAAGAAATTGACTTACAGGGCAAACTGGATGAATCTTCGTAAGCGTAGTTTCAGGATCGCCGAGGCCTCGAGCGGAGAGGTCGAGGAAATAGTAACCTTGATACCTTAGCCGCGTCAGGTAACGTCCCTCGTAACCCCCCTCGTGCGGTGTGTAAATGGCTAGCGCCTTGTGCTCTTCCACGTCTGACAACCAACGACCTAGATCAAATCTCACTAAGTCCCCTCCGATGAAATCCTCTATCCCACACCTCACCGATGCCATCCGAACCCGTGCAGCGCTTCGGACGTTATTGGGTGATCGTGCTAATCGCCTAAAGTTAACTGGCGCTCCGTAAAGGGAAATAGCAGCCGCCATTGTTTATTTTGTTTTTGTAAAGATGATGAGATAACAGGAATGGGAGAGGGATGCATGTTGAAGTCGGTATAGAGATGAACTTTATGGATCATCCATTCGTAAATGATTCTTTATCCATTTTATGGTTGAGAAACAAGATAAGATTCTCCTCCATAGACTTGGAGCGAAACAAACTAAACCCTAGATAAGATTCTCGTGACCATGACGGGCGTGTTCGCATCACGGATGCATTAAACCTCATAAAAGGGCAAAAAGGGTTACTGTACTCCGGATCCACTACTCTCAAGAATGCGCCAAACTGCATCACGAACATTTGGATTTAATAATAATAACTAGCGGAGGGAGCCAGCATTGCAAGGGCTCGCTCATAAACTATTTGTTTCGAGCAAGATTCGAATTATAACACTTGAGTTCGAGGCTGTCGGAAGTTCGAACTTGATTATTTTTGATTGCAGGTCGAGCCAAGTTTCCTAAGATAAAGTCTTATTAATTGATAAGGTGTCAAGCTAAAGTCTCCCTTAATTGTCGAGGTGTTGAGCCAAGATCTTCTTAAGTGACCGAGGTGCCGAATCAAGATCTCTCTCAATGACTGAGGTGCCGAGCTGAGGTTTCCTTCAACCGGAGAGACTGACATTTTTATAATTTATAAGGAGAGATATGACATTTTTATAATTTGTAAGAAAAGAGAAATGATAAGAGAGAGAGTGGCATTTTTATAATTTGAAAGAAAAAAAAAACAAAAGAGAAAAAATTGGTAAGAAAAAGAATGGCATTCTTGTAATTTGAAAGAATCTATATCTATCTATACTATTATAAAAGTGCAAATGGAATATAATAGTTTCTGGAATTTTCATTGGAGAGAATACCCTCATTTTAAACTTTGAATGGGAAAAACATAAATGGCAAATGTCATTCTCACATTTTCATTTACTCTCGGTATAATAGAAATAGGAAAAGAAACGGTTGTATCTTCCACGATCCAGCAATTTATCTCCCACAAACTATTTCATGCAATTGAATTCCCACCCTGATCGAAACTATCCACCAACGGTTTGTCTCCCGCAAAGTGAACGTTTCATCTCCCACAAATTGTTCCCCGGAACATCTGAGTACCCTGCAACATAATTCGTTTTCTTTACATCTGAGTACCCTGTAACATTAAGATTGCCGAGTTGTCTATCTGAGGAAGAGACTGAAGGTTTGGAGAAGAAAGAAAACAAGGCATGCAAAGAATCATCTGTTATTTTTGAAACTGTCTTGCTCAGTGAACCGCCCAAATCGATCAGTATGTAAAAAATGAAGTCCAGGAAGACAGATGTATGCTGCTTCAGTGGCGTAAAAGATGTCTAGGAAGACAGAAGTATGTTGCTTAATTTCTATTCTTTTGAACGTATCGGCAAGTATGCTGCTTGCCATCGGAATGTTGCTTAATTTTCAGGGAGCTTGGCCGATTTGGATCGCTCCTCTGACGATACCTCTGTGGATTCTCGGGGTACCTATTTCAAATTTACTCGTTTCTTTCCTTCATCTTGTTCTAAACCAACCACTCTTTTTCATTGATCATTTGCTATGACAACCGGGTTTTATTTCCCTGGCTGTTTCCTGCATTTACCGCACTAGATGTCTATAGAATGTTTGTTGTCATTTAGTACTGTACTCATTAAGCGTTTCTTCTTCAGCTTGGTTTCTTTTATTATGCGTTCCTGGCTTTTAATTTTATTATTATACACTTGTTGATTTGGTTTTCTCGAGGTGTTTGTTTCATACCACGGCTTCACTACCTCTTTCTTCTCTACTCATGACATGAGACCCTGTTTGTATTCCTTGAATGTGTACTCTATTTTAACTTGTTTTTTTCTTTTCTAGGTTTTATTTTATGTTTGTATAGAGGAGACCAGCCACGGCTCTAAGCTGGAATTTACAGAGGACGAGGAAACGCTTATTGCTCGGATGTACAATCTGCTTGGAGACAGGTCGGTCTGATGCCTTTTCCCCATTTCATTAGTTCCTTCGTCGTCTTACTCTTCCGGGTTCTCGCTCTTCCTAAGCCTTTTTTTAATCTAAGATTTCAATATCATTTGATCAGGTGGTCTCTAATCGCTGGGAGAATAGCAGGAAGAACAGCGGAAGAGATCGAGAAGTACTGGACTTCTAGGTACTCAACAAGTGAATGAGAGAGTCTTTATGGTGTTTTCTCTATTAAAACATAACTATGATCCATTTTTGGAGTCAAGTTCCGACAGTTGTTCCATAAGAGATGATGTTCTTGAAGATATACAATTGAAAGTTGAGAATATTGTTGCTGATTAATCTGAGATTACATTCCTAATGATGCTGTCCAAAGGCAGAGAAAGAAGTATTGGCCATCTTCGGATACAGTGGCCGAGGAGTCTACTGCTATTATTGATGAGATTTCAGCAACCAAGGAATGCATCCTATGTTTGGTTGGGGCTCCAACGTCCCTTGAGATTTCAGCTACTGATCAAACTCTCGCCAATGTTCTACAGGGCTTAAGCCTTGGAGCACCTGGATCAGATTCCAGGCATCATTTACCACTTCAGATTCAAATGACATCGAAAAAGTCATCGAACAAGAAGCAAACACCAATTCGAAAGGCAATCAAGATTTTGAAGGATGACAAGGAGAACATTGACAAATAACAACACCACCAAGAAACTGGAGTCGGGTAGTGGACTGAAGAATGCCAAGTTATTAACTATCATTGCAGAAGAGAAGGAGAACAAATGCCAAGTTATTAACTGCATAGAAGGGATTCAGTAGCACGGGTTTAGGAAAGCTGAGGAAGACTCATAAAGAGAAATTGCAGAACAACAATAATAAGGTCAGAAGACATCTATTAGTGGTCAGGGAGTGGTTCACATTGGCTTTGTTTTTTTGTTTTGGTTTTAATCTTGATATGCATAATTGGCTCACATATTTGTTTGGCAATTGCAGGAACAAGAGTAGCAATAGCAACAGTTTCAAAAGACAAGAGCTCTGCAAACTCTAATAGAGAACCGGTTGATGTTGGGAGGTAGAAAAAACTAAGTCAAGATACTTGCTATTGGCGTTGGTGTGGTTGTCATGGCAGTGGGGTTAAAACTTTGCTTTGCCCCTTAATTTTTTTTTTTGGTAGTAACATTTTCATGGGATCGTTAAGTGGTTAAGAGTTGCAAGTTTTTATTTCCCTGCTCTTTTTTAGTGTTATTAATGTTTAGAAACAATGAAAGGGGATATTTCTGAAATGAGATAGAGAGAGGTAGAGAGAGAGGATGCTTTTCTACAGGATAGTAAATTGAATTGAATGATTTGAATACAATCTCAAATCAGAAAAATTCCAAGTAATAAGCACTTTTCTTCCTTTTATGGCTTGTAAATCAATCAAGAATACCAAGTGTGGAGGACCTACCTGTTCTGTCAGCAAGGAAAGTAACCCCACTGAATTCTATAGGTTTAATTTTGCTTTACAATAGTATAAATGTTGGACTGTTCTTCTCATAATCTATTATCAAATTTACAGTTGCCTCGAATTTAACACCATTTGGGTGATTTTGGCACTATATCAACTCTGACTGAGAGTAGCCTCACTCAGCTTTCTTTGAGGTAACCTCAATTTCATTGTCACTAACCACTAACCAATAAACCATTTAATATTATCTTATCCTAAATTTTTTTCATCATTTTATGAGTTGAAAACAAAAGGTTACTATCTATACTAAAAGGAAATGTTGTACAGTCAAGGCCTGATGTGCGATAACTGGAATCACTCAGTAACCTCTCTTTTCAATTGTTGTTAAAATGCCCATTATTTGCAAACACGCCACCACTAAGTAACCTCATCTCTCCCTCCCTCTCTTTCTCTCTTCGTCCCCTTCATTCTCTCTCTCTCTCCCCCCATTCTGCTCAGTCTCCAGGCACAAACCTTAATGAAACTGGGTTCTCTGATCGTCCCCTCTGTTCTCTCTCTGCCCCCATTCTGCTCAGTCTCCAAGTATAAACCTTAATGATACTGGGAGTTGTGACACCAGTTTACGGCTAAAAATGTTGTGAAGACGGTGCGAGGACCAATTTTTTTGAGGATGAAATCCAGATTCGAATTGTGAGGATTAAATTTGTGAGGACGAAATCCGGATTCGAGTTCTCGCCTTCTCGGTAATGCTGACTTCATTATATAACCCTTCTCCGACCAGTTAAAAATGGTGGTTTCCCAGGTTCCACTGATGTTTACTCTCGGCTCCAGTAACGCAATTTGGAGAAGCTGTGCTGTCAATCGATAGGAAAAATAAGATTGATCACAAGTTTGAAATTTAGCATTTGTTTTGGCAGAATACAAGAATCAGGTGCAGGTGTGCATTGCAGTAAGGGTGTTATGGAACAGAATAGAAGAATCAAGTGACCACCTGCTGGTGCATTGCAGTTTCACCTACAACAGTCGATTTGTTGGAGGCTTCCACAACCAACATAATCACGACTGGCTTCCTTTGATGATCTGTCATTACAGAAAAAGAAAGATAGGGTGGCTGATACACACCTTCATGTTGCCTTTTCACCGATGGCTGGGTAAGAGGCACCACAGGACTGCAATAGTTTGGGTTTTACATTCGAACTTGATCAGCAAGCAAGGAACTGGCATCCAACCAAGACACGTACGGGCAGGTCGGGTTTGGATTGGTTTCAATGAAACAACAATGAAACTGAAGCAGGGGTTATGTTCGGTGATGATGGTCTCAGTCCTGGTTGACGGTAGATACGAACTGAAATGAGACAGAGAGAGATAGAAAGGAGCGGAGAAATGGTAGAAGGAGAAGAGGAGACCAAAGGAGAAGAAATGGAGAGGGAGGAGAAAGAGAAAGAAAGAGGGAAAACGGAAGGAAGAAGAAAAGAGGAGAGGAAAGAGAAAGGAGCAGAAGAAAGGAAGGGAAAACAGGGCAGAGATGCTGACGGTGATTGGTTCTTACCTCCTCTGATTCGTTCGATCAAAAGGGAAGAGAATGGAGAAAGAGAGAGATAAAAGACAAAGGAAGAAAAAGGATAGGAGAAGAGAGGGGAAGAAGAAGAAAAGGAGTTAGAGACCGACGGTGTCGTCACCTTGTTTCGATTGGAGAAAATACTAAGAGGGGGGAGAGAGAGAGAGAGAGAGAAATGGGGGTGATCGCTCGTTGGTAATGGCGATGGGTCTCCGTTGCGTTCGTTCCATCAAGAAAAATAAGACCCCCCTCTATTCGCAGCCTCATGGAGAAGAAAACCGCCTTTTTCCTACGTTTTAATTAATTGAAACCGAACAAAGAAGGGGAGAGAGACGAGAGGTGGAGGGGGAGGTTTGAGAATGGAGAGTGGGGGCTCAGAGGACGAGGGTGATATTGGGTTTCATTATAGGTCATGTGGGGTCACATGTGCACAGATCGTAACAGAGCATTAACGAATGCTAACGACGGGGGTAGAGTTAGTCAATTGTCAGAAACAGTAGGGTAGTGTTAGTCAATTTTCAAACAGTAAGGGTACACTTAGTCAATTAGCTAAACCATAAGGGTAGTATAAGAAATTTACCCTTTAACAAATTATTGGAAGTTACATGTTAAAAGTATAGTTGTTGAACATAATCTGGTCTTATCAGGCCAAAACCTAAAACCCTAATTACAGACCCTACAAGGTCTGGTTCAGAACTGGTTGTGCACATGGACTTGTCAGGTTGGGACAGACCCAAACCATTTGGATTTCTAAAATGCAAAGAACCAAACATCAATCATGTTGGCAAAGACGCCCTTATTTTACATATGCATCTTCTGTTTCATGACTTGTATAGTGGTATCTGTATCCTCCTTATTTAACTCTAGGTTATTATTATCTAGCCACCTCACAGAAAGAAGTAAATAAGAATGAAAGAACACTTACAGTGGCGGATGAGCATCAAGACTTTCACACTTCAAGTCTAAAATGGCAATGTTCTGTAAGTTCAACCATGATCATATCTTAGATTCCAGAAACTTCTGATTGTTGAATGCAATCATCACCTTCCCAATGACTTTCCTGTCCTTGATTGCAGAGAACGCAAGGTTGGCCTGTTAAGAGCATGTAAGCAGAATTAAGCACCAATTATTCCAGTATTAATTATAACAACCATGCAACTACATGCATTTTAGTGCATTCTCTACAGAAATCTGGCGCTTCTAAGAATCATAGACCTGTTTCAATGTTCTTTCCTTGGTAACATATAAAGGTTACTGATGGCAAGGTTTGAGAAGGAATTCCACAGGTATCAAAGGGTAGGATGCATAAAGACAAAAAAAAAAAAAGAGGATAGGAAAATTTTTTCGAGGATTTAAAGATTCTACAGAGTGTCTTCTTTGTTAAGCACGGGTGGTGGCAAATGGAAATACTTGTTGCATAGCAACGCATACATTTGAGTAATTAATAAAATCCTCCCATCGTGTTCTCTTCCTCTATTTCCATAATTCTATTAGAACTTCTGGTACTCATCCTAAAAAGACAACATAGAAAAAAGGAAAAAAAAAAGATGTGGTGAATAAATTATAGGAATATTACACGAGTAAAAAATATAGAACTTCTGCATATTACACGAGTAAAAAAAATAGAACTGCATGGAGGATTTGTTTTTGGGGAGAAGAATGGAATTCTTTGGGTGTTCTTTCAGGGGCCAATCCAAAGGAAAGTAGATTCTAAAATCCAATCATAGGAAGGGTCAAGAAGAAACTAACAACTTGGAAAACGAACCACATATCTTTGGAAACAACCTTAAAAAATATATTTTGGTAAACCTTCCAATTTACTACCTTTCAATCTTTAAGATCCCGCATAAGATAGCAAAGGTGATAATGTGAATAATGAGAAACTTCTTGTGGGAACCAAGTGAAGGAAAAAAAAAAGGATTATTCAGTGAAATGGGGAGGTTGCATTAAGAGTAAAAATCAAGGTGGAGTGGGGACTGGAGATTTAAGAGCAAAGAACTTGGCACCTTTAGGAAAATGGCCATATGGAGGCTGCCTCTTGAGAATGAAACGTTCTGGAACAAAGTAATAGTAAGCATTCATGAACCAACAAATAATAGTAAGGATGTAGGTGTATCACATCAGGCTACCTTGGCTTCTCACTAGAAGGCTATTCTCTAGACTTTCTAAATGTTGTCAAGTGTAATATATGTTCTACGAACAAAATTTGTTTTTGGGAAGACAATGGCGGGCGATTCTACCCTTAAGGACCTATCCCTTTGTATTTTATTGCCAACCTCAAAAGGGAACCGATTTCGAAATTTGTATCTTTTTCATCTTCTTCACCCAAGGGTTTTGATTGGGTTTTGTGTTTGGGTCTGTTTGGTTTGCAGTCGGAATCAGAATCAATATCTTTCAGAACTGGAATTGGGATGGTTTATTCCCATAGTCTGTTTGGTTCAGACAGGAATTGGAATGAGAATTAGAATGAGCTGGAATGGGATTTCATTCCCAAGGGAGGGGGAGGGAATGGCCACACCTTCAAATGGGGGAATGCCATTCCACTAGGAATGGGAATGGGAATCCGAATCTGCCCAACCAAACAGATGGAATCAGAATGACCCATTTCGATTCCGATTTTGGACCCCTATTCCCACAAACCAAATGGACCCTTTATTAATGTAAATTTAGGAGTTACAAGAGATTACAGATTTGCCCAAAACATTTATTGTCTTACAGCCCCTTGTTTGGCCAAAGAATCTGCCATTCCATTTGTTGTTCTTCTCACCCACTTAATGTTAGACAGTTATGCCCTTAGCTCTAATCAGATTGATGTATCTTTTGACATTTATTGTAAATGAATAAAGTACATAATTGATTCATGTCATTGTGGTGTGTTTCTGTGTAATACCCTTAAACTGGACACTTATGAGACTCATGTTAGTTTAGAATTTTCACAACCATTGGATAGATCTAGGGAGACTTATCCTACCAAGGCTGACACTGATGTACCGCCAAGTTGGTTGGGGTGGCTTGTCTCAGCTACCAAGGTGAGACCTGAGGTACATGTAGTGTGGGTTTCCTTGAAACCCTGAACCGGACCAAAATTCCAGTATTGCCCTGGACCTTGGAGATAAATGGGCAAAACTAGAATGTTACACCTGACCCTTGGACTCGATTATGGTACTGCACTAGGTGTCGGATCGGGCTGTCTTTGATATGCCAATCAGTGAGATCCTTAGAGGGGGTCAAAACCTGAGTATGTTGGGACAGTCTGAGAATTCATTTGAGTGGATGATCATAATGACAGGATCAGCCCCTTTGTCGGACAAAGTGAACGATCGGGGATGCATTCTCTCTAATGGAAACCTAAACTGCCGGCAGTTGATTTCAACCGTTTGAAATTTGCTTTTGTAAAATATATTTATGAAGAAAACTGAAGAAAACAGACCTTGAGAGTTCGGTAATGAGGGTTTTGAGTGTGAGAGTTTCGAACCTTACTCCCTCTCAGCACCCTAACACTATTTTATTAAGATAAATTTGAATAATTACAAGGAGGCCCTTAGTTAGGCAAGAAATTACAAAAAACATAACATAGAAAGGATGGGCCCGGAATACGGCCCATTACAAAAAAGAACATAAACAGTAAGAAAATCTGCCAACTGAGCATAGATGTCAATCATGCCAAACTTGCTAGTATCATGCTGAAGTTTTGCCTTGGGAATACCTTTGGTGAGAAAATCTGTCAACTGTCCTTTAGATGTGATGAAAGGAAGACATACTTCACCCGAAGAGACCCTTTCTCAAATGAAGTGTCGATCAACTTCAATATGCTTAGTTCTATCATGTTGTACTGGATTGTGAGCAATGTTGATGATAGCCTGATTATCACAGTACAACATCATTGGCTTGTCATGCTCAACTCCAAGTTCCTTCATCAATTATTTTAGCCATAATAGTTCAGAAAATCCATGTGCCATGGCCCTGTATTCTGCTTCAACTGAAGACCGAGCAACAACCGATTGTTTCTTGCTTCTCCAAGCATGGTAATGTTAAGTAGATCTTCTGTCATCAATGTTTCCGGCCCAGTTAGCATCAGTGTAGGCTTCAAGTTTCATATGACCATGCTTGGCAAACAGAATTCCCTTTCCTGGGGAGCCCTTCAAATAACATAGGATTCGCTCTGTTGCTGCCATATGAGTGTCTCGGGGAGCATGCATGAATTGGCTAATGCAACTGACTGCATATGCAATATCTGGCCGAGTCATGCATA